TTTTTTTTTTCTGAAATAGTTTTCTTCATATTACTTGTATGGCAGGGTATTTAAAAATGTAATTGAATAAGTCTGAATGAAAACTTACTCGTAAAGTAAGATCTGAGGTTTCGAACATTCCGACACGCGCACGTGATTGGACAGATAGTGAGGCTTCGTTTTCTGCTGATCACGTGATTATCTGAAAACAATACGCGCTCCGGCACAGAGCTTCGTGAGAAATTGCGCTGCTTACCCGATACGCGCTTTGAAGCTTCAGTGTCATATGTAACATCACTACCATGAGCTTAATTAAAAAAAATTTTTTTTTTAAATATCAAGTTTCAAGTGTCTTATCAAGTGTTTTAAAAATATCAAGGCTTCAAGTTCATCAGAGTCTCGTTCTCAGGCTACAGAGCTGATCGTGTAATTACACATTATGTATTTTGTGTTTTCTTTGGAATGCCAGACACATTGCAACCTTCATTGACCTAGGATCCTGGACTGAAAAAACAGGAAGAGACCTTGAGGTAAGTTTAAAATGATGGAATTGTGTAAAGCTAATTTAAACTCCCATAAGTCTTTCCATCTTGTGAAGAAAAAAAAAAAGACAAAATAGCATTTTATGGTACTGCCTCTAGAGGGGCCTATAGGATCCTATGGAGATTCTTAATTGAGCAAAACAAGTGAAACATAAACTTTTCATATTACTTGTATGGCAGGGTATTTAAAAATGTAATTGAATAAGTCTGAATGAAAACTTACTCGTAAAGTAAGATCTGAGGTTTCGAACATTCCGACACGCGCACGTGATTGGACAGATAGTGAGGCTTCGTTTTCTGCTGATCACGTGATTATCTGAAAACAATACGCGCTCCGGCACAGAGCTTCGTGAGAAATTGCGCTGCTTACCCGATACGCGCTTTGAAGCTTCAGTGTCATATGTAACATCACTACCATGAGCTTAATTAAAAAAAAATTTTTTTTTAAATATCAAGTTTCAAGTGTCTTATCAAGTGTTTTAAAAATATCAAGGCTTCAAGTTCATCAGAGTCTCGTTCTCAGGCTACAGAGCTGATCGTGTAATTACACATTATGTATTTTGTGTTTTCTTTGGAATGCCAGACACATTGCAACCTTCATTGACCTAGGATCCTGGACTGAAAAAACAGGAAGAGACCTTGAGGTAAGTTTAAAATGATGGAATTGTGTAAAGCTAATTTAAACTCCCATAAGTCTTTCCATGTTGTGAAGAAAAAAAAAAGACAAAATAGCATTTTATGGTACTGCCTCTATAGGGGCCTATAGGATCCCATGGAGATTCTTAACTGAGCAAAACAAGTGAAACATAAACTTGGTCCAATTTGAAGCTCGAATTTGCTTTTTTTATGCAGTCAGATACATTTAAACATAAAAAATATATATTTTGCAAAAATAAATGTTTTTAATTCAAACTGAATTTTAATCAACATATGTATATTCATACAGTTTCATAAATATGTAATATAAAATATATATTTAAAACTATAAATATGCTATAAACTCATTGGTCTCCACCACAGCACTCAAATTTAAACTAAAATTTAACTGTTAAGTCAAAAAAGTCAAAATGACAGTGATTTCCTAGCAATAACATTATTCATGTTATAATGTGTCTGCGTGTGTGTACCGTTTGTGTGTGTGTGTGTGGGTATGTGAGTTGTTTATGCATTGGGGATATTATATAGTCTCAGCTCTTTGGTTTGGTATGTGTCTTTTGTGGATTGTGTCAGATTTTGTATATGTGACCTGGAGCACAAAAACCGTCATAAGGGCCCATTATTTTTTTATTTAATTTTTTTTTTAATATTGATGTATGGTTTGTTAGGATAGGACAATATTTGGCCGAGATACAACTATTTGAAAATCTGGAATCTGAGGGTGCAAAAAAAAACAAAAAACGAAATATTGAAAAAATCACCTTTAAAGTTGTCCAAATGAAGTTCTTAGGAATGCATATTACTGATCAAAAATTAGGTTTTGATATATTTATGGTAGGAAATACAAAATATCTTCATGGAACATGATCTTTACTACTTATCCTAATGATTTTTGGCATAAAAGAAAAATCTATAATTTTGACCCATACAATGTATTGTTGGCTATTGCTACAAATATACCTGTGCTACTTATGACTGCTTTTGTGCTCCAGGATCACATATATGTATTTTTTTTATTTTTTTATCTAATGTAGTAAAAAAAAGTTTTTTCGGAAACTTCATTCATTCCTATCAAATTGACCCGTGAGGGAAGGATTTGTAACTTTTTTTGAATTGTTTTATTACAACCACAGAAACTCTGCGTATCCACTCAATTTTTTTGTGAGCGTGTTCCCAATTCAAGTCTGACAAAAGTCATAAAGTCTCATACCATAATGATCAATGCTTGGTTTTAAAAAATAAACTAAAATCATTTTTGGGTCGAAATGATCCTAAAAGGATTAGGATATGTATGTATATATGTTTAAACAAGCCAGCAGTTGTTTTTAAAACTAACTGTGGATGCACATTTCCTTTTCCAGTGTTTTCCTCAACAGTGTACAGGGAATTCCTGTGGCATCTACATGCTGATGGTAAGAATGTTTCATTTGTCAAAGCTGTTAAATAATAAAATCAAAGTCTTACAGTGTTATTTGTATTTCACAGTATGCTCTCAGCACCTGTACATCATGCCCACTGACATTCACAGAGGTAAGTTATATTTCCACAAAAATATACCAAACTACTTTTATGTGGCTTTTTTTATTTGTTTGTTTTTTGTTTTGCACTCTTTCAGGAGAAGGTGCCATTGATTCGCCAGTGGTGGTGCATTCAGTTGATGGAGAGGTTTTGCCTCGAAGGGTATGACAGACTCTACAGATACAATTTCAGTATTTCGGCTGTATTAAGTCACTGTTGGCAAAGTGATACTAGAAAGGTGTTATACAAATAGAGTCAGGGCTGTATGTTAACTTTTTTTTCACATAGCACTGGTGCTACAGAGGTTGAAAGTTTTGTAGCACAGGCCAAAAAGTTGTAGCGCAAGTATAAAACGTCTGTTATCATGTCTGAAGCAAACACAAGTAATGGAGTTCATCACTTAAACAGGCATTTTTTGTAGCACGTGCAACATATATGTCGCACTGTACAGCCCTGAGAGTGCATATGCATTTACATATTTTACAAAGGCATGGACACTGAGATTTGCACACTGGACAGAAGAAGCATCCCAACTCCTTCAGGGAACACTTGAGCCTGTCTTTAGGGTGTCAAAATCCACCACCACCAAACAGTCACCCAGCAGAAGAGTTGTGGTTGAAGAGGTGGAAAAAAACATTTTAGTGGTCATATATCATGGAGTTGCATGCAAGTTGGATAAATAGTTTAATTTGTTTGTGCCATTATATATTTGTATATTTATGGGATTACAATTCTGCCACAATTCTGCGCGCGAAAGGCCATATTTTGAGCACGCAAAAGTGCGTTTTGCACGCGCACAAACTGAGTTTTGTGGAGAAAATGTTTGTCTCGCAAAGAAGAAAGTATTTCGAGCGCACGAAAATCAATTTTGCATTTAAAATAAGTTTTTGGATGTGTGCAGACCTTCTCTTTTGCATGTGCAACGTTTCACTAGCTTGCTCACCTGATGCCCGCCCTCAGTGCTCGCTAAATGCCAACAGCTCGCGTGCTCAACACAACCCAGCATTACAATGTGCCATAATTCCAGCCAATCAGAGACCGAGGCTGCTAAATTCTGATTGGCTGCCTTGACAACCAATCACAACATTTCTTGCATTACCTCGACAGCAGAAGAGGAATAATACAGTGCATGCATAATTATTATGCAAGTTGATATTCTGATCATAGTTTTTTCCAAGCAGAATTGTGGCAGAATTGTAATCCCATATATATTCAGGTGCAACAGCCTAACATTGTGAGAGACCTTCATACAGCTTGGTACTGGGTACACAATCACAGAGAGTGTATTAGACGATGGAGGGAATGAATGAATGAATGAATTCATTTATGAATAAATAATTTAAAAAATATACATTTTTGTGTTTCTTAGATGCAGACATTTGTTAAAGTATGCTGAAATAAGTAAAACATATCTTTAGAAAATTAATAATTAAATGTAAAACACACACTTATATACACATCTGTGTTACCCAAATAGGGTCTAGCAAATGTAAACTATTTTGTTTTTCTTTTATTTAATTTTACTGAATTGATTTAATTTGTGCAAATTTAATCGATATATTTTATAAAAAAAAAAAGTGTATTTATATAAAGAGAATCACTAGTAAAGGACTATTTCCGGTACGGATCGGGTAGTGTCAACAACACATGAAAACATTACATTATTATTAGTATTATAACAACAGTATTATTATAACTACCCGAAATTGCCGTAAATTGTTTCGTCATACAGACAGGAAGTAGACGCATTTCTGCACATGCGCAGTACAAAATACAAATCGTGTTTCCGGTACGGATCAAGTACCTGGTCACTACTCGATCCGTATCGGAAACACGATTATAGAATAGATGTGTTCACTCGCTGATGAGTCTCGATCAAACGGTGCTGTGAGATCCCGTGTGAAGCGCTTGCATTCAGCGAAGAACACAAATAACTCTGTTTACAGCCAGATGAAACCGCGCTGACTAACAGGAGAAACACTGTGCGCAGCGATACAGTTAGAAGACTTTTTAATCTACAAATTGCCATCATTTACAATAGATTTACTGTAGTAGCACGAAGACCAGTGGTTAATTAAAAAAAAAAAAAAACTCAAACAGTCAGAATAATTCAATTCCACCATATAAAAATGAGGTTGCTACAATACTTACAGATATTACTGATTTTGATAATGAACATAAATCTACATCTGCATCCTAACTTAAGCTACTATGAAATGTGTATTTCTAAGAGACAAAAATTTTTATATTATTATTAATATTATCAGGCAACACAAACCTGTTTCTTGATTTGAAACAATATTACTCATTAGAACGTGCAGAACTAAGAAACTATTTTTTTCTATTAAGATATTTTAAGGAACAATGACTGGAAAAGAGTAAATAATTCAAAAACGAAGTGTTTGTCGTGTTCTGACCATAAAGAGTAGTTTAAAACCACAATTAACTGTCTGGTTTTTACAACTTTCACATTGGAGCAAAAATCTGCCTAAAGAAATAAAAATTTGACATGTATCGTGATAATTATCGATATCGACTGATATGAAAAAACATTATCATGATCATTTTTTGGCCATATCGCCCAGCAAACATTATCGTGATAATTTTTTGGCCATATCGCCCAGCCCTAATAATAAGCCACAGTAGTTTAATGAACAGATGGCGTGGCTGGATAGGGAGTGAAAAAACGAGTGTACGTGTGTGAGGAAAACAAAGACAGAGTGTGACTAAATGCTTAAGGTGCGCTTCTGCCTACTTCAGCTGCCACAGCCAAACAGGAAAACCTTTAAATAAGAATAATTTTACCACTGAACAGCGCTGTATTCACATACTTGCATGCACTTTCCATTAAACATTAAACTGGAGATACATGTCATTGTGGTTTCACATTTACTTAACAATAACACTTTCTGCTGTGAGTGAAACATTCACACGGCTTCACCTCTGACCAGACCAAACACAAAGAAATTGAAATGTTCTTAACAAAAAAATATTGCTTAGTGAAATCACTCCTATCAGATAACGCACTGACTGAGCAACACTCTTTTTCCTTCAAGTCGACAATCTTTTTTTCACAGAATGATGTTAATGTTATGATATTCTCAAAAAAAAAATGATATGCTTGAACTTCCCAAACTTTAATTTGTCACTTGTAAGCCTTAAAGTGTTATTTTAAAAAATGATGAAGAGAGAGAGAGAGAAACTGTCAGCATTTACTCACTTTCATGTCTTTACAACCCTGTATGACTTTCTTCTGTGGAACACAAAAATAAATATTTTGAAGCATGTACAAGTGGATCTTCTCCATGAAATTACTGGAGCTTTCAAACTTCAAAAAGGACATGAAAGCACCATAAAATATCATAAAAGTAGCCCATTCCACTCATGTGCTATAGTTCATTCAGTCATACAGATTTGAATGTGAGTAAATGAAAGTCAGACCTGCATTGTTTTCTGCTCCATCTCTTTAAATAATAGATTAGATTGTAATATGAGAAAACTGCAGTTGAGGTGGAATTATGGGGTCAGAGACGGGCAAAGCAGAGTATCTTCCATTATTCTCTCTCTCTCTGATCTCATTCTCGTTGTGTGCCAGACCTCTCCCCCTGCGTGTGGGACCCTGATAACAGGATCTTCTGAGAAAGTGAGGAAGTCCTTTCAGGCCTTGGGTGTGTGCCTCACCAGAAAGACGCGCGAAGGGATTGTGTGCAAAAACGTGTGTGTGTGTGTAGCTGCTGTAGGAAAAGTTAATACTTGAGGTGTGCGGCCATGGCAGGTATCTGAAGCTGAAGGTCATGGTGTTCTGCACCATGCCAGCTGTGTCTGGTGCTCATATCCCGTACACAAAAGGCCTTGAAAAGAGTCCACCACAGCTGTGCATCACATGCAGTACAAGACTGCTATAGCCTTCAACTAGTCGCACATGTAAGAAAAAGTGAATGTAATTTATGGTATTGTTAAGAAAGAGTGGTTTCTCACCAGACATCAAAAACCAAAAGTGTAGCCAGCTACCATACATTAAAATAATGTATAATTATTATGCTGTGTATATATTGTGATGTGTACCATTATTTTGAGTTTACTCTGATTTGAGTTTTATGCAAAAAATGTTATAAATATAATAAAATATACTATTTAATAGTCAGTTGCCATTACTAAAGCACATGGTATCAAATAATCAAAAGCCTTAGCTCACCTAAAAATGAAAACTCATTATTCCTGTTGACGTCCCATTGACCCATTTTATTTATTTAAAGGGGTCATATGATGCGATTTCAAGTTTTCCTTTCTCTTTAGTATGGTAGGGACGTAACATTTCCGTCTCACGCTTGAGGTATTCGGCCAATCACAACGCACTGGATAGCTGGCCAATCACAGCACACCTCGCTTTTTCAGACCGATGAGCTTTGTAAAAATCATAGCATAGAGGAGAAACAATAATGTACAGTATGTGGAAAATAATGTGTTTTTTTGAACCTTAAACCGCATAAACACATTTCATTACACAAAATACTGTTCTTTTTAGCAACATCATATGACCCCTTTAATTTTTTTTTTTTTTACATTTACAAAATTTACATTTTTGGGTGAACTATCCCTTTAGCAAAGGACAAGAGACATAAAGATGTATCAAATTAAATTTAAAATGATCAAGAAAAAAATTTAATAGAATGTAAAATATTTTTATATTATTATGTTATTTTACTCAATATTCTATTATATCTTTGATGGATTTCTCCCCTATAATCCTATAGGATATTCTTTCAAATGCTGTACAGTTTGTTTCAGGACCCACAGATGACCTCAGATGGAGAAGGAAACACGTTTACGTGTTGCACTGCACGTCCTGGATTTGTGGGAAGATGTTTATGTGATCAGAGTGTGAATGTTGCACAGGTGGATGAGGGTGAGACTTTGTTATCGGTTTCTCTGACTGGTTCATCCTCTGATATCCTGCCACAATACTCTCACATATTCTGCAGCAATGTTTACTAAACAG